CACTGGCCTACTCTATATGAAATACTTGCAGCATTCATTTTGCAGGCCTTGGTAAAAAATTCATCATGAAGTCATGAAAGGTACCGTGAAAAAATTAGTAGGAAAAAACTGAATTTGTACAGTCGCAGTGTGAATGTATGCACAGTTCACTGGTTTCTAGCTAAACTGCCCCAACTACCTTATCCAGAACAGATTTTTTGTCACTCGCTCTTGACCAACACTACACAAGAACTGAGTTAAAATAAGTGAAGGTGTCAGTCTGAACCTGTACAATATCTGCATGCATGTAACTGTGGTTGTGTTGCAGGAAGTCACAAGAAGTGCTCCATTAAAGGTGGTGTATGGAGAAAGTCTCTCCTGTTACTATAGCTAACATCACAACAACAACAACAACAACACATCTCTGCAAACTAGAAAGAAAGCTGATTGTCTGTGGGCAAGTCATTTAACGTCACCTGTACGTCACAAATCCTGGCTGAAATAACAAGTTAGTGTTGTGTGGCTCAGTCCCATCCACTCTGTTTGTTTCCTGTTTACAGACTCAGAGCTTTGTGCAAACAACATATTTTTTTTCTCAGTGCACACACTGCAGGAATCTAGCTAACACTGAGGAGATATTAGCTGAATAAAAAAAAAAAAGTGTATTTGATTAGAACCGCATTAGAATTGCTTAGCCCACGCTTAATTTAGTTTGAAAAGAAAAATTACGTGAGACCAGTGGCTTCTTCCAGGATTGGGGTGCTAACAAAAACCTCTTAAATAGGATAGAATGGGAGAAGCAGGACACTTGTTAGATTACAAACTCTAACAGCATCAAAGACTGAAAGATGGACAGAGTATTCTGAGTTATTCTCTGAGGTCTTGTGTTGTCATTCGGTTCTGATTAAGAAAGCTTAGTGAACATATAAAAGTTCATCAGCCTAGTTTGACGTTCTGTAAATGTCATGGACAGTATCTACCGATATTCATTCTTGCTCTCCTGCTGTCTTCTACAGATGTTCTCTCCCAGCCACAAACCAGAACAGACACTTGACTGTGAATCAGTCCACACTTTAGAGCCGTTTCAATGTTTACCAGTCACTAGCATCATCATATGGCATTGGAAGCTGTGAAACATGTGATATGCACAGTAACCAGTTCTGTAATGCATTTCCACTGCTTGTGATTACTGTTGCTTAAACATGTATGAGTCAAACAATTTTTGTCAAAATTATTTGATGCACCTGGAAATATCTGAAAAGTCTGTCTAAAGGTCAGGGGCAGTAAAACTCACATTCCTCCTCCAACATAATCTTAAGAAGGGTTCACAAAAAGATTAAACTTTTCCCTGTGCACCATTACAGACTAATTGAACATCCAGAGAGGCACTTCTCCATGACTTGACCAGATGTCAGATCAATGCAACATCAGCTATGTGCAGTATTTGCTGAGAATTCATTAGGGCTGATCATCTACAGGACTTGTGAAGTGACATGTGATGATATCTTGAGCTCTCTTGTGAGCTGCCACACCCACTGCAATGCTCCCCAGTGTAATAAGCCAGCCCTTCCCCCTCACACCATCAGCCTTTAAAGAAAATTCACAATATGTTGAGCTGTCTTACCAACACACACAACTAGTGAAAGCAAAAACTAATTTGACTTTTGGATTTAAATTATCATCTTATTGACTTTCTCCTTAAAACATTCTTGAATTCAGAATTCATAATTCAGGTTTGAACTTTTCTGCTGCATTAGAGCTATTAGAGGGAGGAAACGCTTCAGTGTTTTCTGTTGATAGAAATGGCTGCAGAGGCATCTAGTGGCCCTGGAGCTTCAACACTCATAGCTGCATTAGAAGTTTAGAGTTTTGCACAAAGGTTCAGTCTGTGGACTGGCATTTTGAGTATCAAGATGAATTTTGGGAAAGGAGAAACAATTTTAATTACATAAATATTTATTTGCAACATCAAAAGGTATACAAGGAAAAATAAAGTGCTTTGTACTTGGGATTTTCTTTCTTTTCAGCGTATTTCAATTAGTTCAGTAGTTTTCATAGTGCATGTTTATCTCCAAGCAGGGGTTAGAAAATCATTAGATTTATACAAAGCAGGAAGCAAAGGAAAAAAATGTATCTGTTACACAAAATGGCATTTACAGTGGTTGTTTTCCTGTACTCAAGTTGAAATTTGAACTAGTAATTTAAGTCAAAACCAACATTACATAAAGACTGTTATACACTGCCAGTCAAAACCTTTCAAACATATATATATATATATTTTTTTTTTACAGTTTTGGGTTGATCTTGAATTTCATTTCACAATTTAATTTGACAATAAAACTACATATTTTAACACCTGCATTTAATGAAGCCTTAATTAGGCTTCTTTTCACAGCAGAACGCCTAGCAGGAACCGCACAGGTGGAGCTAATTACATTAACGATGGCTCAGTTCCATTTATCCCAGTGAAACGTTTACCAGTGAACCAGTGAGCCAGTGTGCACCATGCCTCGGTTTATGGCATGCAGACTTTTCAAGAAGTACTTACAATTTGAAACTGTGCTTTCAGGAACTTTAAAGATCCCCTCCAGACATGTATTACGACAAATATAAAAATCAACATAAAATGTATAATTTCCACATTAAAATCCTTAATAATCCTCCTTCTACCTCTATAAATTACAGAATCTATTAATATAATTTCAGTTTTCCTGCTGGACACAAGATGGCTCTGTGCACTGGTGGCTTCAAGTTTCTACATCACACTGTATAGGTTAAACACTGGACCAGGCTTGACTTCCAAACTATTTGTGATGTCACAAATCATGCATTAGGTTGCAGATTGTAGTAAACATTAAATTGTTTGTAGCACTCAGGACACTCAGTAAAAGGAAACTAAAAGGAAACCTAAGGTATCTTTGAACAATTAAACATCTGGGAACTGGCCATAGCTCTCACTGAAAATGTTATTGCAGTCCTGCTTCACTGTTAAAAACATAAAAAGTAAAACATTAAAATATTAGTACAGTATATTAGTTTGTCTGTTACAGTGGCGTAATTAGAGTTATTTAGGTTACTTACAAATTACATATACATATACAGTTATTTCTAACACATTTATGGATTTATTGCTTTAGAGTAAACTCCAAATGTAATAGAGTATTTTCCTTTTGACTGGCAGTGTATGTTTGTCAATCAAATGTTTACATATTCTTAATATGTTTCTTCGAGTTTTGAAGATATCTAATACTACTGAATGCTTGTTGCTCAGATGCACATGCTCTCTACAGTCAGTCTCTATCCCTTGCTCTCACTGCCATATTGACACAAAAATGAGTCAATATTACCAGAAACAAATCCACAAATGAAAAAAACAAAACAATAAAAGTATTTCAAGAATAAGAGTTGCAGTATTGTCAGGTATAATGTTCTGACTTATTTACTGCATGACTACAGACAGAGGAAAACTTTACAATATAATTTCAATTTGCTGTTCACATCTTGTTTGAATTGTATTTAAACATTTGTTGGTTTTAGTTCGCTTAAAATAAAAGTTGGGAAAAAACTGCCACGTTTAAATGTCATAAAAATGAATTTCAATTACAGGTATTTCAATCACAATAAGATATACTTCCTCTATCAATGATATACCACCGTGCTGAACCTGCTGCTTTGCTGTCCCCGCATAAATTTATTCTTTTAAATGTCATGTATTTTAACTGACACACAGTTGCACTTGACTTTCTCCTCACTGTCCCAATCTAGTGACTTATTGCACATTTCCTGACACTCCTTAACCTCCATCCCTTTGTTTCCTGCTGTGCTTTACAATGGCTCCACACCTTTCTGCTGTCAAAGACAATGAGTACACTTAGGCTGCATGCACCCCAGTTTCCAAATCGTGTGTTTTACTTTTCAGCTCCAGACATTTGGCGAACAACAACAGCACAAACATGAATTAAAGCCACTTCTCAGTATTGTTTCTGTTATCACTGGCTGCAGCCTCCACAAGAAACAAACCAAGAAAAAAGTTCTGAAGTGTTTCATAAAGTGAACAAAAGGTCTACTTTGCTATATATTGATAACATAAATAGATTAATAATAGTTAGACTCTTTTTTTGTATCTATTATCTAATAAAAGTATTTGTTACTAAATTTATAATTCTGTTTTGTTTTCAATTCTCTTAAAAGGTTGTTTTGAAAAGAAAAAAATGTTTTTAACATAGGATTTAAAATGCAGCAACGTCCTTCTAAATCGGCATGAATAGGATATTTGTCAGAGGTTATTGTCTTAAGGAATCTTGATCAAATTCAGATAAATTCCTGCTGCTACACTTATTGATTGCACTTGGAATGGTCTTGTTGGTGTACTACACAGCGAAAGCAACTAATGCATACTAAAACGGCGAAATAAAGGAACGTTTACACGTTACAGTAAAAGATTTAAGAAAATAGACTCACATAAGTGCAATAGTAGACTTTGAAGGGAACTACTGCAGGCATGATGACCATTGAAATCCATGAACAACATGGAGATTATCAAGCATAAATCCACCACATTTTGATAAAACAGTACATCATTGACCATTTAAGTCAGTCCTCTTCAAAAAGGAAGAGAGTTACATCAAAACTGCTATTGCTTTCATAAAATCTCTTGTTACATTCACAGGAATAAATTAGATTCTTAAAGTTAATTTTAAACTATGCAGAATGTACAATCTAAAACATAACTCAAGTTTCTGGATTTTTTTTCTACTATTGTGCTTTCCTTTGGTTATGAAATCATAATAAAAGGGAGCCAAAGCCCGTCAGCGCTTTGTCAGAGATTCTTTGTCCTCCTGCAGAATCAGTCTGGTTGATCGTTATGGCTCTTCAAAGAATTTCTTTTTCTTAGTTTCTAATCTCAATGAGAAGAAAAACCAAACAAATATAAATATAAAACAACACTGGCAAGGCAAAGGGGGTTTATGTTTCTGTACATGCAATCCAAAGTTAGACACGTGATAGTCCGCCTGCGCTCTTCAGATCTCTTGCTCACTCTTATAGGTCACTGGATCAAGAGGGATGGCAGTCTGTAGGATGTCAAACTCCATCTGGTTATTGTCCATGTCCAGAACACACATGACATTGTGACTGCCTGATGTCATGGTCGCAGTGTCCTGGAACATATTTGGAAATTCTACAGAAACTGAAGTCCTCCTGTCCTCTGCCCTCTCCTTCCCTGCGATCTGAGCGGAGTCGAAGATGTCGTCCTCCTCCTCCCCACCGCTCAACGCTACCTCGTTCTCATAACAAAATGCACTCAGCGACCTGGGAATCAAGTCTTGTGTGGTTCTACATGCAGAGATGGGAGAAGCGGTGGAAGAGGCCCGACTTGCGGCCTCATCAAGCTCTTTGGCGCTGAGGTGGGGCGTTGACGGCACCTCGTAGGTCTTGTGGAAACGAGCGTAGTCTACCTTGTAGCGGTCCTGGTCCTCATAGATTACAGGCTCAAACCTGTGACCCCAAAGGACCTCTCTGGCAAGGTAGGAGCTACGGAACTGCGTGGTCATGGCCGTGGCCTCCACCATCCCCTCCAAGATCACAACAATCTCAAAGTCATCCTTCTCCAAATCAGCTCTGTTTAAAGTATACAAAGGGCTATCTTTATCTATCTCATGAACTATGACCAGTGGGGATACTAGAAACAGCCTGTCTGTGCCCTCATCATAGCCCACATTGAGGTCCATCTGCTCCAAGGGGATAAACTCGCCCTCAGCTGTGACATATGAACGTATGAGCTGGGCACGGACGTGAGCCTCCACAATGTGGCTCTTCCGCAGGTTGCCCACCCTCCACATGAGGCACAGCTTGCCATCGCGCAGGGAGATGACAGCATTTTTGGAGAAAACAAGGGTCTGGTTCCTCTTCTTTGGCCGCGCCATCTTGGCCATGATGGTGCCAATCATAAAGGAGTCAATGATGCAGCCCACAATGGACTGGACGACCACTGTTAACACAGCAACAGGGCACTCCTCGGTAACGCAACGCCAGCCGTAACCAATAGTGGTCTGGGTCTCCATGGAGAACAGAAGCGCCCCAACAAAGCCCTGGACATGAAGTATGCATGGCATCTTTTGTGTCTGCCCTCCAGCTGTGTGTCCAGATGTTGGTCCATACAGTCCCCCCACCGCCAGCACATCGCCTTTTACTGTAGGGTGCTCCGCAAAGTCCCCATGTGCCAGGGAGACGGTGTAAAAGATAATGCCAAAGAAAAGCCACGAGACCATGAAGCTGGTGCAGAATATGAGCAGCAGGTATCTCCAGCGGATGTCCACGCAGGTGGTGAAGATGTCAGCTAGGTAGCGCTGATGCTTCTCCTCCATGTTGGTGAATAATACATTACATTGTCCATTTTTCTTTACAAACCGGCTCCTTACTTGGCTGGAGCCCCTTGTCAGAATCTTCCCGTTGTAGTTGCTCATCCCTCCTTGTTCCCCTGTGCTGGGCACAGCAGGAGAAGCTCCCGACCTCCTCCTGTCTTCTGTCTCTGCGTCCGAGTGTAGTTGGAAGTTGGGGGAGCTGTGGCCGTTATGGAGTCTTAAGCTAGAGATCTTCTGGCGTTCCTCCTCTGGTAAAATGTCTGACACAATGCTGTACCTGTCGGGCCAACACAGAGAGGGGCGAAGATTAGGATTTAAACATTTGGTAGAGGAATTTGGTGACATTAGATGGACACAAAAACATTTAGATAGCATGAGATATAAAAAAAACTTTTCTTGCAAAGGTTAGAAATTAATTTGATTATGTAAAGTGTGTACTGCGTGGGTTAAGGCTGATTTGCACAGGCAATATTGGCCTTTTATTTATTTCCTCATTTTAAGGGATAAACGTATCCTTATTCTGCATCAAAGTGTTGTTTCTGAGTTAAATGATGTTCCAAATGCTGTTTCAAGAGCTTTAATCCTACCATTACACAAGGTTTTAGGAAACCCTGAATATTTATGAATATCACAAGTGTGGGGATGTGAGCCATATCAAATAAGGAATAGACAGCCTCGCAGTTTAAGGGGGATACAGTAATAAACAATATATATTTAACTCCTAAACACAAACAATATACTCAAATTGGAAGAAAAAAACTCCCGGTCACCTGACTATATCAATCAACCTAACCTGTCTCTCTCCTTTAAATGGAGGATTACCAGCTGGGAAGGTGAGTTCAGTTTAGCTATGTGAGAAGGATTGCTGTCATCATAGATTATAGGATTATATCTGAGCCAGTGTCAGTCAGACAGCCCATTTTGAGATGGACTCATATATATGTTAGTGATTATATGTAAATGAATGTTAACAGTCACTTAATCATGCATTAACCCAGTGATAATAGTGAGATCAGATGTTTCAGGGTACAATGTTTCTCCTTTGAATGACAAATCAATCTGCTATTCAATTTTTTGGGGGAGGGAGTTTTTAACCAGTGCCTACATTTTGTCCATGTAGTCAATCTTTGTTGAGCCATGAAGGTTTTAAAATACCACACTAAGAAAGAAGACAGTAAGACAGCTGCACTGAACTGTAAGACAAAAGGAAACTCATATAAACAACCATGAGACAGTTGAAACATAACAAACAGTTAAACCAAGGCCACGTCAGAAATTGGGTGATATAATTAAAAATATAATTAAAATGCGATATTAATGTGACAGGCTTTTAATGTACATACTGATGGCCATGACTACAATAAGACAGCCTTCAGCCTTCTCATAGCAGGCAATCTGTTGCAGCTGCCTGAAGGCAAGAGCTCTTTGTACTGTTCAGGACAGTGTAGGACGGCCTTGGCCTTTCTAAAGATCTGCTTGCTGTAAATATCCCTGAGCTGGGTCTGACTCACCCCGACTAGTTCACCAAATTAACAAGCCCATTCTTATGGCCAGTAAGCCTGTGTTAAGACTTCCGGACAAGACAATGTTACAAAAGGATGAAATAGTTTCTGTAAAGCATCGTCATCACTGGGCTGTTGTGACGCCATTTGACGTCACTGTATAAATCAGATATAGGAGGATAAAATAGATTAAGAAATTACTCCAAGGCTTCCAAAGTCTTGTTTAAAACAGTAACAGTTTTCAAAATAGTGCTTTGAATTAGCACTATTATTTCCATATCATCATTATCATTTCTTTGCAGATTCAGGCCTTTATAAAACTCACCAGGGCCACTTCATAAAATGAATTATTACCATAAAACTTAATTTAAAAGCAGGGTTCCAATTAAACCCAGTTACCCTTTACTAGCCTGGCGTGGCTACGCATTTTGACAAATAAGCACAGTCTCAATTAGATGTCTCATCTGGATTTTACAGAGATTCTTTGGATGTATACAGCTTCTTAAAGCCCACTGCTGCTGGGGCTCATTCTAAGCTGCTTAGTTTACCTACACAATTATAAATGATTCAACTTTTGCCAATATGGACATGCTACACGTCATAAGATCGGTTAGATTCTCCACGATTCAGTCGTCATTTTATGAAAACCATGAGCATTAAAGTATGAAATTATCAAATGAGTGATTCGTAATTGATATGTTATTCAAGAGCCTATTTTTTTAATATTCATCCTGGTTTAAATAAACAATTTGATAGTATTTCTTAACTTTTTTGTGCAAAAGGAATCAAAGGACTGTCCCATATAGACGGCTGTCCCAAATATAGGCTGGTTGAGTTCAGTGATTGAAGCAAATAAAAGCACAGGCTATCAATATAATCACAATCCTCTGCAGACTAAACCCCTCACCTGTTGGACCTACTTGTTCCCATGGCACCAATGATCACTGGTATGGGGTGTGGATTGGAGGCCAGACTCTGTCCAGGTCCCAAAGATCAGGTCTCCACCATGAGGGTGGTGCTTGAAGACCACTGCAGGAGAGAAAAGGAGTTACAGAATCAGTTCATGTAAAATCACCGTAATGAAATACAGCAAGCACAGGTTCTAATGTGGAGATTTAACTCAATGAAAGTAAAGAGCGCACAACTTTCTTTAACTTTTTCTAATCTAACCTTGTTTCATCTGTTCATACATTTAAACATTATACAATGGGCTCATGTTTCTCATCTGTTTTTTTGTGTGTCTTGTTTTAGTGAGCTATAGCTGTGAATTTAGACTTGATCCTGATTTGATTTCTGTGAGATGTCTTGAGTAAGAGTGACCCTGCTCTTCACATTAGAGTTTGTATTTTGTATGTGGGTGTAAGTGGTGTAATTATAGGTAATTTAAAGTGGTTTCTTTGGTCATACAGTTAGGCAACATGTGTTCAATCAGCCTGTCTATTAGGCTTAAACCAAAAGATTAAGCATAATGATGTGCACCCAACTCTCCACTTCTCCAGCACTCTCACACACACTGTAAACAATGCACTCTCTGACAGGTTTTATCGAAATACTATTGTTGACAGCTTTGTTTCTGTCTCTACAGCTTACAAAATATAGTGAGGCAACAGTAAACAGTTCTGTTTAGACAATCCAAACCTCAGCGTACTAAATTTTCCACATTGTAAATCCTGACAGCATATCTTAATAAATGAAGTAAGTAAACATAGCCTAATCCTCCAAAATGTTTGAGTCACTCATTCCCATAAGTTAATTAAACCTAAGTAATGACTCAGTTGTTTTGAGTGCACTTAAATTTAGCTGCTATTTTGATAATCAATCAATTGTACATTTTTATCATACATCCGCTGTTTTGACAAGTCATTTAATTCTTTACTTTAGTGGAAGAAAAAAATTCAACCTAAGTGGTAACATTTGCATAAAGAAGATGCATTTAAGTTAGTCTAATAATTTATTAATTAGTTAATTTACCTTAACTTAACAATAAATGAGTTACTTGTACTCAGATCAAATATTTTGCCATGCTTAAATCTTTGGAGTTATTAAATTTAAACTGTTTAAGGAAATTGGTTCCCACAAACAGTTTGAGTTGAACTAACTCATCAGTACAGATAAAAACAAAGATGACAAAGACCATCCTACTTCCTAATTCCACTCTTGCTAGTTAGTTTCCTTTTGCTACTGAGGCTTGCCTAGCTGCCAGATAGCTACATATGTGGAAGTCCATAAATCAATTTTGACTTTGCATTCAAGTAGTTAGAACAATATTTTTGGTGTAAAAGCAAGTTGAGCAATGACAGCAGTTTGAGTTCTCAAAGTTAACCTATCATTACATGTGATCCATTTTAATCATGTGTTTCTTTATGTAAATTATGTAATCCATGTTGAGTTCACTTCCTGAATTAATAGTGATGTAATTAATTGTTGTAACAAAAGCCCAGCCATAAAAAATAAACATTCCCATATTTGAGATAAATTGTTGGCTATCCAAAAGGTTCACTGGAGCTTACAGCTATAGATGGACTATGGTTTTAAATGATCTATCACATTGTCTTACTATCATTTTTATGGCAAACATTAAAACCAGATGTAGGTCAGGTTCTTTCTGGTATAAAATGTGCGCTAGTATAGAAAAACGGACACATCTGGCACCTTAATGGGCCTAAAAGCCGAGAAAGAAAGTATTCAGATATCATTTGATAATGTTTTCCCCACTGTACAGCAGCACAAAATTGCTTTTCTGCGACAAAGGAGAAACCAAACAACTTTTCTCCAGGACAATCTTGAGTTTTAAATAACACAGGCACATGTGAAGGGTTTTTGTCTGATTACATAAAACTGTCCTTCCAGAAATACTCAGAAAATCCTGTCACATAATCTTTCCATCGTAATACCTGTGATACAAAGCAGATAGTACATCCAAGCTGAAGGTTATAGTTGTAGCTGTTCTACAGTTCTTTAGTTGTTACATTTCTGTAATAAATGCAGAGGGTTTCTGTATTAGAGTTGTGTAGTCGTTTGCTTGATTGCAGTTTTCTAATATCACCGTTGGACAATACAAACCAGCTCCCAGGAACAAAGTTGGCATTAACATGGTTTAGTATTAGGCGTACTTCAAAACATAAAGCCGAGTTTTTTCTCATGTAGTCTACATGACTCTTCAGACCACTGCTCTGACTTGCTCTGATTTCTGTGCTGGTTGCATTTCACTATCATTTTAAGGACACTCAATTTAAAATAGTTGCACAAGAGAAGAGGATCAATGTATCGTTGTTTCTCTGCAATGACACCCACACAGGCACATCTGTATCTTTAAGTGAGCATTATATTGTTATGTCTTGTCTGTCTCCATACAGGTGACCTTGGCTTCCAACCAACAACACAGCTTCCACCTTCAAGCCCTATCGACAAAAGACACACGCAACCAGCCGACAACCTTTCATTCATTGCGTCTCCCTTTTGGTGCAAAGATTTTATAACTCCTAAATTCACCGGGAGGTCAGGATGAGTAGAGCGCAGGTACCGACCAATGTGTTACTGCAGAGATGAGACACACACAACACAAACCAGTTAATGGTCACCAGGTAAAACTGGGGACTTTCACTGAAGCCAGTTTCCATAGGAACACATCTCCTGTGGCATTTGGGGGACGGAGAGAAGTGGAGAGAGTCACCACAGACACGGCGGTGTAGGGGGGCTAGTATACAGTATTAAGTGCTCTCATAACATGAGTCAGAGAGGGAGGGAGAGATGGGATGAGAGAAAGGGCATAAGGGCAGCAATCCAACATCTACATACGATTATAAGTAGATTCTAAATAAGGCGTAAGAGGTGACTCTTAGTTGAGACTTTTCTGATCTATATTACCGAGTCAGAACATAAATGAGGAAGAGAGAAATCTGGAGTCTAGGACTTGGGTCAAAACGCATTTTCAAAAAGCTTTTATGTTTTGCTTTATCCCACTTTATTTCCCTAATGATTTGCTCAAAGGACACTCCACCCAGAGCAACAGGATTTAATTAACTACACAAACATACATAAAGAAATCGCATATCACACATTTTATTTATTTTATTAATTCTAATGTAAGGTTGTAAAGATGTAGAGAGAAGTAGAAAATAATAGTACAAGAAAGCATGCAATTATTCTATCAAAACATTAATCAACAAGAATTTTTTAGTCAATTAATCTTTTAAGTGACTTATAGAAAATGCCAAGAATTTACTTGTTTCAATTTCTGAAATGTAAAGATTTTCTTCTTTGTCTTTTTTTAAAATCAAAGTAAATTGAATATCTTTTGATTTTGAATTGTTGGTCGTTATTTTTAACATGTTTCTGTCATTTTATAGACTAATACATATCTCTATTAATTGAAGAAGTAATCATCGGAGTAATTGATATGAAAATAATGATTAGTTATAGAAGTTTGTTTCTGTATCTCTGCGTCACTAACTCCTCCCTATAATCTCATAAATCACAGATTAATCATCAGCCATAATCTCTCCCACTGAAATAAGACAGGTAGAGTTGTTCTGTAATAAACGACTTCCTGGAGATTTCATGACTGTTAATCCCAAAAGAGGCACAGAGGGAGAGACAAAGACAAGCAGGTTGGTTTGCGGAGAGGGAGGGAGGGGGGGATTAAGATGCAGAAGTCTTTGATAATCACCCCTGATGAGACTCACCATTACATCAGCCACAAAAATAAATTATAGATCCCATGTGAATACCAGAGCGTTATGCCCAGATATGGCCTGACAGATATGGTAACTAGTGGGGCAATCATACAAAGTGGTCTGAGTCATTTTTTATTATATGCTGGTCATAACCGATCATTGAAAACAGGAAATTATCCACACTGTCTATAAAAAGGTTTGTATGAAATTATCAGATGCATTCAAAGGCAAATTATGTGACTTCAATGTCAGAAATGATCAGAACAGTAAATCTGATTGTTGAGGATTGTTTACAACTGCTGGTATTAAAAAAAGCACAGAATAACCTTGTTAAATCAGTATTGTTTATTACAGGAGGAACATATTTGTGAGTTATTTACTCATGCTAAGGAGCTGCTGAGTCTGTCTCACTAAAGTGATTCACGCTACAGGCCTTTGTGTTGGGAGCCTGTAGGTGACAGGGTTGTCATTCCTCTGAGCAGGCTCCCTTTACTTCCTTCTTTCTTTCCTTTTTAAAACAAAAGGAAAAGAACAAACATCTCGTACTAGGTGAAAACTCATCAATACGTAACCCGGTTTCACCTCTGCTTGTCACGAGCCAACCCACAGAGAAGCAGTCAGCCAGTGCAAAGAATTATTCCCACGCTACCATCACATCCCAGACAACCTCCGTGTTGGCCTCATTTCAGTTTTTTTTTTTTTTTATCTTTGCAAAACATATTCTATATTTCCCAGTTCACGTGATAGATCAGTTGGTAATAGAAACTGATTGATTGATGATCATTTTGACTTCAGTTACTTTCCTGAATGTTTGTTTCCTGGACTCACAGACAGAGAAAGACCGACACAATTACAGCTTAGCAGCAGCTCACTATGTCATCTCTTGACTGTTTACAGTTGATCAGCCAATATTATATTTGTAGTTACATTGTTAATGTTTTTTTAAAGTAGTACTGGTACTACAGCTTGATGCTGTTTCACTGAGTGAAAAGGCCATTAGGGCTGCCTGAATAAAAGACAAGATTAGGTCAGAGTGATAATTAATTCAAGAGGGATCAATAATATTGCCCTCAATGATGAAATAGTTCATTATTCAAACTACAAATACCACTTTATTCCTGTATGTTCCTATTGTGATGGTATCATGAGGCCTTTCTAGAGGCTGCAGAAGCAGAGATTTCTTTCCAACAGGATGCACAAAACCAAAACTAACCTACAAAAGAGTTGAAAAAGTTGAAAACAAAGGAGAGATTT